GCTGCCCGAGTTTCTGAGCGGTCGACTGTCTTCACTGCGAACGATGACTTCCAAATCTGCTGCAGTGGTGTCGTCTGCTCCGTCAATATGAACCATTGGCACGAATTCTCTTGAGGTATCATCCACGATATCATGACTTTCCATATCCGTCTTTTCGTTTGCTGCATCCATATCCCTGAAAACGACACGTTTTAAATCAGAACGATACAATGTTGATAGCACGATCGGCCGCCCGACAACTTTCAAAATGACTCGCGGACGTTTTAGCTATTATGTGTGAATGGCGTTCGCCCCCAAACAATCAGTTAACACATTCCTTTGTTTTTACGGCATGCGAGACTACGTGTTGTTGATGGGAGAACAAAAGCGTGATCGAGTTGAGAAGTTTTAAAGTAACTCTCGGCACAACAAAGGAGGTTTCTACAATAGAATAGAACCTTTATTGCTATCATACCTGATGACATTTCAATAAAGTAATAAATTCTGAAGACAAAACAAAAATGAAAACTAACAATACAGGAAAAATCCAAAAAGGCAACTCTGAAGCAGTTTACTTTTAATTGAATGTTTATTAAAACAGTTATAAACGTGTTTTACCTTATCAGTCATAATACTTTCATCCTTATTATTTAAAATATTATCTAATAACTCTCCATTGTTTTTCCAGTCTTGAGTAATGTGTTTTCTGTTTTCTTTAGTGTATAACTGACAAGACAGCAAGAAATGTTGCTTATTCTCAATTCACAACCTGAACATTTTCTATCAGAGATTGGTATGTTCTATTTCATTCTGTAAGCAATGAGCGCTTATCGTCAGTTTCGTCGTTGCAGAGCTATATTATTGCAACTATATATCAATCAGAAATTCTGTTTTTTAGTTCTCTGTACTTCTCATTTTATTTTTATGATTTGTGCATTTGTTGTCTGTGTGCATAAATATTTACATTTTTATCTGGCATGGAGCTTTACATCACAAATGCCTTTCATTAAGGCTTCACTGTATTTCAATTTCCAAATACTAGTATTCAGTTTTAAAACATAAAATATTTGAAACACACAAAATAGCCAATTTGGCCTAGCTAAGTTGTGCATTTCCAAATCATGCTTCGATTATTAGTGTATTATCTGGCATATTTTTTATCCTCATCCAATATTTTATCATTTGCCTAGTTCTGGACTGAGGATATCTCCCTAGTTCATGTAAACAAGCGAGATTGGAAGCCCTGCTGTTTATTTTCAGCATTGGACCTGCAAAGTTGCACAAATCCTTTGTGTGTTTAAATTACTGCATAGGTCAGTATTGACGGGTTAATTACTGCATCATACAGGATTCTGAAAAAATGTATTTGTTTCATTTTAAAGCAGGTTTAGTTGTGCTTTATCTAGTCCACCTGTTATTTTTAAGTTTATCCCAAGATATGTGTAAGAAATAACTTTTTCTAACTCTTGATATAAAATTGAATATTATTACTTTTGATTTAGTAATATTAACTTCCATTTTTTACAGTATTATTGCAGTTTTTGTCTCTGAGAGTAAAAGCATGTCATCGGCATACAATAGACATGAAAGTGTCTTGTTTAACAGAGGTGGATTTCTCTGAATACTGTAATGCCTTTCTCAGTAGGGACAGTATTCATAATTGGTCAAACCATTTTTAATAACTTTCACAAATTCTACAGAGTACAAATGTATAAATAGCTTTTACAATGTTATAAAACTGTTGCTGAGCTTATGTTAACCAGTCTACCAGATGGAGTCAAATATTATTTTTTATATTAATAAAACAACCAAAGTGCTATCTTCCACTGGACATACATTTTGTTAGGCATTAAACCAATTTGCTCTTTGATAATTAGGTTATTCAACTTGAAATAATTGGCGAGTCAATGTATTAATATCATTATACTCTGTAATTGCCAGGATCTGTTGGGTCACCTTTTTCAAAGATTGGGTTGTTAATCCCTATATTTTAAGACAGTTTTTGTAAAAATACAATGAGAGAGCTTCTACCTGCCTTGATTATTTCATTTGTAATAATACCTGGGGGTTTTCCCATTTATTAAACTTGCTGATTTGTCCAGAATATCCATTTGAGGGTCGTAAATTTGACATTGTTTTATCTCATTGTCCAAGATTATGTTTGTGTTTGTGAATAGAACCCTCAACCAAATGATGCCCAGTTTGAATAGACTTATGGGTAGGTGTCTTCACGATATATTGTGTGTGGTCACATGCAATGTATACTTCACGAGTCCCTCTATATAAACATATGTACCGGTATACTGCATTTATAAAGTGTTTTATTTAAACTTCTCAGGTGCTTTTTGGTTGTTGATGATGCAATATCAATGCATTGTTTTGAGTAAAATAAAATATTCTATTCTAGAATAACTAGTTTCCACAAAATCTGAATGCAGTCCTTTAACCCTAGATGTATTAACTTACCGGTAGACTAATATTTAATTTTTAAAATGGCTGTTAGTCGGGCATAATATGCTCAAGGAAATCAGTCATTTCACGGAAACAAGTTTGGTATGGCTATTAAGCGAATGTTTGGAACAGTTTGGTTGCACAAATAGGAATTAGCATCATAATCGAAAACATAAAACAAACAGAATACACACTTTACAAACATGGACACAAGTAACAGCTCAGGGAGAACACTAACCAGATCTTTCACAGATTGACTTATTTGCATTTAGTATTTCTATATGTCATGCAATTTTTCTGATTATCTCGCGATTTGTGTGTTGTATCTATTTTGCACTAGTTGTTCATTGCATATTACTCTAATTGCATTCCCCTTATCTTCAAACATTACAATACATGCTACCTGGCCAAGTTATCAATATATTTAACATCCAAATATCATTCACATACATACATGTATTAAACAACAAAGGAATTATTCAACAAACTTTATTTTAATCTCTGAAATATATAAAAAATATAAATATGAGTAAACATATTCCAAAAAATACAAAACAAGGCTATATATGAGAAAATCAACTTTAAAATCAATGTATAAACATGAATACAAGTTTTGCATAGTACAAATATGCACAATATAATATAAAAGATAGATATTAATATATTACTATTTTTGTAATATTGTACATAAATCCATCTGAATAAACTCTAGTAGAGTACAACACCCATTACTACATCCTGGTCTTTTCAATAAGTCATATACACGAACTCTAAAGGTCACACATCCTGGTACTTATACATGACCTCTAAAGGTCACACATCCTGGTACTTATACATGACCTCTAAAGGTCACACATCAGTCACAGGATCGATGGGATTGACTAAGACAATTTGAAAACCAATAACATGAACTGATATCGCATTTCAGTGCCGTCGTGTAGTAGTAGCTATCACCTCAAAACATGAAGTGTTCATTCTTTCACACTCTACTTGTATGTACCTGGTATGTCCATCATGATGGTCTATTCAGACTGATGCACATACAGGGATGAGCTATTTCATCATTCACTAAATTAAACCCACATAATTCCTGATTCCAAGGGGGGTATTTTTGGAGTTAAAGAACATCTCCGTCATATTACTCAGCGAAACGAACATGTACCATATCTTTTGCACTTCATTTTGTCTGAAAATTTTTTTTTTTAATTGGTAATCCACTTTTCTCAGCTGTATTATATAGTTCTTCTAACTGCCCTTTTTGTACCCACCCGTGCTCACTCTGCTATTTTGTAAAAACTGTTCAAAATATGCCACTGACTTTTTCCGTGATTGTCTATTGTTCTTTTTCAACATTTCATATTTCTGCACTACCCTCGCCAGGGAATCAGGAATTTTTTGCGAAAAAGTTAACACCTGTAGGCAACATAAAATTATTTCTGTTTCAAACATAATTAACAAAGAAACGTTAGAAAAATTTCAAAGTACATGCAATGTTGCAGCAATATTTTGTCTGACACCAAAAGAAAAGTTCCAAGGACTCAATACAATCTTCTCAGTGAAACCTTCATTTCCAGTATAAAAATAAATATGTTAACTACTCTTTGCAAGTTACACTGATTCCTATCGCAACTAAAGTACAGAGGAAGTTTGTGACATATATTTTTTTTGTGTTTTATCTTGGATGATGAGTCTTTTTCATCATAGAATTGTATTGACTGAACCAAAAGCCTTAATGCACTTCCTTGTCAGAGAATATAAATAAACATGTACAATGTATAGCTATTTGCATACAATTTTGGTTGACATGATTTTAAGAAATTTTATGACCAGTATGAGGTAGTGTTCACCTTGCTGACTAATACTGTGGAATACTTTATTTTAGCTGGAATTTATTTTCACTGATTTTTGATGAGTTTAATGTGAAATATAAAAAAAAAAGTATATTTGCTGGATTTTATTTTCACGGGATCTTCACTTCAGCGAAAAATAGCGAAAATAAATTCCGAGCGAAAATAAAGTATTCTACAGTAATATAAGGCCATGTTTACATAATTCTGTCCAATCTGAACACATGTTTACATAATTCTGACCAATCTGAACACATGTTTACATGATTCTCACCAAACTGAACACATGTTAACATAATTCTGAACAATCTGAACACATGTTAACATAATTCTGTCCAATCTGAACACATGCTAACATAATTCTGACAAATCTAACATCATGTTAACATAATTCTGACCAATCCAACGTCATGTTAGCATAATTCTGTCCAATCTAACACCATGTTAACATAATTCTGACCAATCTGAACACATGTTAACATAATTCTGTCCAATCTGAACACATGCTAACATAATTCTGACCAATCTAACATCATGTTAACATAATTCTGACCAATCCAACGTCATGTTAACATAATTCTGACCAATCTGAACACATGTTAACATAATTCTGACCAATCTGAACACATGTTAACATAATTCTGACCAATCTGAACACATGTTTACACAACTCTGACCAATCTGAACACATGTTTACATAATTCTGACCAATCTGAACACATGTTTACATAATTCTCACCAATCTGAACACATGTTAACATAATTCTGAACAATCTGAACACATGTTAACATAATTCTGAACAATCTGAACACATGTTAACATAATCCTGTCCAATCTAACACCATGTTAACATAATTCTGACAAATCTGAACACATGTTAACATAATTCTGTCCAATCTGAACACATGTTAACATAATTCTGTCCAATCTGAACACATATTAAAATAATTCTGACCAATTCAACGTCATGTTAACATAATTCTGACCAATCTAAAATCAGGTTTACATAATTCTGTCCAATCTGAACACATGTTAACATAATTCTGACCAATCTAAAATCAGGTTTACATAATTCTGTCCAATCTAAACACACGTTAACATAATTCTGACCAATCCAACGTCATGTTAACATAATTCTGACCAATCTAAAATCAGGTTTACATAATTCTGTCCAATCTAAACACATGTTAACATAATTCTGACCAATCCAACGTCATGTTAACATAATTCTGACCAATCTAAAATCAGGTTTACATAATTCTGACCAGTCTAACATCATGTTAATACAATTATGACAAATCCAAGTTCAAGCTAACATAATTGTGAACTTTCTGAGGTCAGGTTAATATATTGCTGACCAGTATAAACACATACAAGCTATTTTGTTATCTTACATAAATAACAAATTTATATATACTAAAAATATGATGACTTTTACAATAAAATAAGTAAACTGGAATTAAAATTTTTATATTCCAACTATCTACAGAAATTCTAGGTTCAAACATAAAAAATACTAATCTTATGATTATTAAACTTGATTTCAGTAAATGACTACCTGTATACAAACTCAATTTATTTCTCAGGGAACCATCAGCCAATCAGAACTTGAGTTATAGACCGCTTTTTAGAAGGGCACACTCTCATTGGTTTACTAATAAGATCACAGAGGAGTAGCCAATTATAAATTGTGTTACAGACTGCCTTCTATCACACTCTCACTGGTTGACCAATTACATCACAGAGGAGCTACCCAGTAGCCAATTATAAATTGTGTTACAGACTGCCTTCTATTAGGGCACACTATTACTGGATGACCAATAACATCACAGAGAAGCTTCCCAAGTCACCAATCAGACTTGTGTTACAGGAAGCTTTTGAGTACGGGAAGTCAAATGAAGTTTGAGGTAATATTTCGCCACAACTGAATTTAAAAGCAAACATGGCTTCTACCTTTATCAGACTGTTAACTAAAACTACAAGACTATAAACATTTTATTATACTGTACTTCAGTATATTTCTTTGACATGATATATAGATGAACTACTGTATTTTGATTTTGCTAACACAGTGAGCTGAATAACTAACAACTAATAGATAACAATTGTCCTCGGTCAACAGAATATCTGAGGGTCTGAGTATTCCATCTTGACAAGTGATTATGCCTAAAACACTCCCATCTGGTCTAAAAACCTACAATTAGAATGTAAATGAGTAAGAAGATGTCATTCAAACAGCAAAACTATTTAACTTTTTACCACCAGTTCCTTATTTTCATCACAAAATAATCTTGTTTATAGTCTGAAAATTGGAACAAAAATTACCAAATTTTGAGACTAAAAACTGAAAATTGGCTCCAAAATTAGGGTAATTTCCAAGAATATTGAATAATATACAAAAACGTGCAGAATAACTTGGACATGAAAGTATGGTGGTAAAAAGATTAAATTTGTCACATTATTTATGGTAATTTGAAGAAGCAGTGTGTGGAATCTTGTCACTAAGATAGGAAAACCAATATGTGTAGAAGACAGCATTGAAAGAGTGAAGAGAATGAAAGGGAGTTGGGCAGGACACAAAATCTGAAGAGCAGGCAAAACATTATGTCAGGGTGGTCATTTTATCATTTACATACATTATGTTAATATATTTTATTTCGTGACGTCACCACCAACTATGAATTATTCATATCAACTAAAAACCTGCAGACGGGGACATTCTCTCAAGACTTAAGTCCCTCGCATGAAATGGTTTGCATTTCCCACCAAACGCCTTCGGAGTTTGAATTCTAGGATACACAATTACATTAGACCCGAGGACTATCGACAGTCCAATATATATATATAATTGAGCATGATGGTGATGACAATTGTGATGATGAATTAGTAGTTCACATGTACTTCTTGTATGCTGCGAGGAAAACACAAGTTTTAAAAGCTGATGGGACCCTTGATGATATATCAATATTCAAAAGAACAAATTCAAATCATGGTTTGAATCTGGTAGGATAAGGCAAAAACGTAATGTGCATTAAATATTTAGTAGAAAGCTAAAAATCACAAAAGGCAAATAGGTATTGAACTTAGAGTTATGGCAGAAAGTTCTTACCTGGATACGATCATTCCTATTATCAGCCACCAGAATATTCCCACAGGTATCAACAGTTACATCAGTTGGTCCATTGAACTCACCAAAACCAATACCCTTATGTCCAAACTGGTTAACGATTTTTCCACTCAGATCAGTCACATATACAACATTGTTACCAGTATCACTGACTATCAGATGTTCTTCATAGAGATCCAAGAAACAACATTTTCTTTTCACTCCTTGTATTGACTGAAATGGTGTCCGTGACAAACATATGCCTTCTGAACTGAAC